TGTTCTTACATTGATTGGATGGGGTATGTCTTTCTTGAAATGTCATAACTGATATACTTTCTTTATGCCCAACTTCAGTCATCAAAACAACTATATCATCAGTTACTACAATGCCTTAACATGTTGTGAAGTAGGATGGGATGGAAATTTCGGATGGTGTTTATTATTAGGCTTGTGCTTTTCCTGGAATAAGAAACTAATTGTCTGGCCTAGGGTATGGTGGTTTCCTCAATAGCTCTTGAAGTAAAATGAGGATACTCATCTAGTGGTGGTATAAATGTCAAGGATAAGCCTGTTTGCTGCATGTAGTTGCTTCTAATAACGAAGTTGTGGTTCACATTTATCGTTTCTAGTATAAAACTGATTTATTGTCCTAAGAACTCAATTTTGTCGATGGTTCAACTCACAAGTTTTAGTTAATCTTGTCTTCGCTTTATGATAATTTGTTCGGTCCTCCATTTTGTTTAATATACCTTTCTAATTTAATTGAGTCAGCATGTGAAAGTCTTGCTATTATGAAAAGGTGTGTGTAGTGTCTTTGATATTCACATGATTTTTTTCCTTGCATTCAGATGGAGGTGGTTGCATCTCCTTCGTTTTCAGCCGCTGGTCAACAAAAACATGCCAAATTAGACAATTGCCTAGAAATTCCCCCGATTTCGTCATATTGTGTAAGTATATTTTTTTGCCTAATAATTCTTTGTATCAATGTGTTTAAATTCTTGTCATTGTCTGCTTTATCTGATCTGGATGTTGACATTCCGGGGGGGGGGGTGATTTGGTGGGTGGTGTTAGCCTTGGATAGGGCTTGCTCCTATGTTTTGACTTTATGCTGCTGATGTACAAAACTAGTGAGGAAAGTGATGCTTATTAGAGCTGATTTGGAAAATAAAAGGTTGAAAAGTCCTGATTCGGCAACCACTGAACCAAGGAGAACCGAGTGATTCTTAAATCAAACTGTGAAGGGCAAAGTGGAACTTTGTTGGTTAAGGTTGCGCAAAAGTCCAAAGTTTGAAGATGGTGACAAAATTTACATGTAATCTATGTTGCTCGGATTCTCCAAGAAATAGTGCTGCACCCATGCTAGATCCTCCAAAAATGCACTACTTTTGAAGGATCCGACATGCTCTCGTCAACATTTTGAAGAGTCCGAGCAACATAACTTGTATTAAGTTTATTTTAGAATGTAAGGGGTCGTTTGGTATAAAAATTAATAACACACTGATTAGTAATGCAAGGATTACTAATGCAGGGGTTAGTAGTGCAGGGATATGTAATGCAGGGTTTATTTTTATCAAGTGTTTGGCTCATTGTTTCCCACCCCATCTTGTGTTTGGATTAAAACTCTATAAAAAGTTTTTTTCCAATTATACCCTTGAATTATTATGTAATTGGGTCAAGCTAGATAATTGCCGGACAATATTATTTTTCTATGGTTTTCTAACTAGCTAGGGGTTGAACAATTTTGTTGTCATGTTTGCTATTTTTTCACTTGAATTATTTAAGGATAAATAGTTGTCATCTTAATAAATTAATCACTCACAAAATGTCAATTTTCAATTTAAAAAAAGATAAACCATCTACTTTTAAAACCGAAAAGACGGTAAACAATAGGAAAATTGAATAAAATCATTTACATTTTACACATAAAAAATTGTAAGTTGTAGTTTTAATATGTATGCAATTTTATAAATTGTTCAAAATACAAATAATTAGAAAACCACTATATATATATATATGTAGATGATTAAAGAAACAACGTAAAAGAATCTATTTGGACTTTGTTCTTATGTGCTAAAAAAAGAAAAAAAGGTTCCCGTTGAACTTATGTTTTGAGCCATTTTGTAGTGTATTAATTCTGTTGGCACTTCAGCTCCAAGTCATGATATCATGTCTACTATCTGTATGTGATCTTTGCTTCTAACTTGGAGGAACATTTTGTAACTTGATACCTTCAGCCCCCCTACGTGCAGTGTTCATGCATTCTTGAGTTTGATGGGGCTTCAAAGGGGAATCCTGGACCAGCTGGTGCTGGTGCTGTGCTGCGTGCTGCAGATGGAAGTATGGTATGCTCCCTTTCCATTTAGAAGATGTGGTTTGTCGCCACAAATTTACAGGTTTTCGACTTGTAGTTCTTTTCTGTAGGTTTTCCGGTTGCGTGAAGGTGTGGGTGTGGCAACTAACAACGTTGCTGAATACAGAGGTGTAATCTTAGGGCTAAAATATGCTCTTGAGAAAGGTTTCAAACATGTAAAAGTTAAGGGTGACTCAAAACTTGTCTGCATGCAGGTCTTCTTTACTCTTCTTACTTCTGTTTTTGTTTTATTTTCATTTTCCCTTTAGCAAATTAGTCAATTATTTCTGCTTTCCCACTTTTAATATCCTGTCAAATTTATATATTCCAGTAACTTGTTGAAACCACTGAGTTCTAAAGCAATTGCTGAAGAGCTTTTTCCGCTGATGTCCTAGCAATTAAGAGTGTCTGAGACATACTTATAATCCCCGGGATACACAAAGATGCCCCAGAAAGTAGACCATTCCAAATAATGATAAATTTGATCTCTTTTGATGGACTATGGTATTAAGTATTACTCCCTCCGTTTGAAAAAGAATGACCTCTTTTCCTTTTTAGTCTGTTTCAAAAAGAATGACCTCTTTCCTTTTTTGGTAACATTTTAATTTCAGCTTTCCACGTTACATGTTTAAAGTCACAAGATTGAAGGGAAATTTAGTACATTTGACATAACTTTAATTTAGGACCACAAGATTCAAAAGTCTTTTCTATTTTCTAAAACTTTGTGCCAAGTCAAACCAGGTCACTCTTTGTGAAACGGAGGGAGTATCATCTTAAGTCATCCCTAGTTAGCCTGGGATGGAGTAGCTGTAGTATTATCTTAGTGTATACTCCACAGGTTGTAGTGTATACTCCAAAATCACACAGTGGAATCCACACTGTGGATGAACATGACTGGGTATGTTAGGGAGTACAAGATAGTTTAGAAGTGCACTCGAATAAGGTAAACTACAAAAACTAATTTGAGTTTATTATTATGTAATTCTGCATATTACTTTTTTCTTTTTATGAGGCAAAGTCGGTTCAGCTACATAAAATCTTGAAATCAATTAATACTATATTACATTCAATACTTGACAGTGTTTTAAGAAAAGAAGAGAGAGAAATGATCCAAGGAAGCTTTTAAAAAGAAATGGGAAAAGCTTAGCATTATCCACCAAGTTTTGAATTGTGTCTCATTGATCCTCGGGGATTTCTCTGTTATATTAAAAAATGACAGAGCTAAGAGATGCTGTGGCATAGAAGAATGAGCAGCAGTAGGCAAGCAGTTTGGATCCCCACATTGTCTTCGGAAAAATTGCTTCTGTTCATCCCAAAGTGAGCTGGAGAATAAAGGTGTAGGTTAATTTGATTGTTTTGCAGAATGCCTAAGAGATTTTGCAGTGACGGATCTGGGAATGAGTATAAAGACCCTATAGGATTCGGTATAAGCTTTCCTTCTTGATGGCACCTCACCCCGTCCATCCTAAGAGATACCCAAACCAGTTCAAAAGTGTAGCTATTCTTGCCCTTGTAACCTGTGTGACCTTATTCTGAGATCATGTGTTCTTGCAGTGCTATTTATATTGCATTAAGTATTAAGTTATTGCTGGAACTGCTTCGGGAATGATCTCTCGTTCTTTAAAAATTTCTATCATGGAACAGACTCAAGGAATCTGGAAATGCAAGAACCAGAACATGGCTGAGCTATCCAAGATTGTGAAAGAGCTTAAAGATCATTTTTTGTCATTCCAGATCAACCATATTTACAGAGTATGGCCAACTTCTCCTCTTTGCTAATTCAGAGCTTACTGAGCCTGTCTATCAGAATTTTGATCTTCGAAGTCCTTATTATATCTTGCATCTGCATGCTATTTCTGTGATGAAAATGCTATAGTGTGTGTATGTGTGGTCTCCTGTGACCAGAAAAGGTGCAAGTGGTGGGTGCTTGAATGTCATGTTTAATTTATGCAACAACGAGTTTCATCTTTTCTTGCTAATGCGCTCTATGAAATTGGTTTCATCACCTTGTTGCCAAAAGTGAATAATCATGTTTCTCCGGTCTATTAATTCACTTTGTTTTGCATTTCTCTTCATGAAGAGTTTAAACTAAACTTGTACGTATGTACTAAACACATGATTGTTCCTTTCTTTTAATCATTAAAACGCTATCTTTTCATCTCATTCTGAGGGGTTTTACTTGTTTGACATATCAGGAATTCAACACTGAAGCCGATGCCCAGGCAAATTTAGCCGTGTATCTTAAGAGTAAGGGTCTTTCTCTTGTACTTAAATAAATCTCTCTTTTCCTGTGATAAGTCTGTCTGATAAGAAAAATTTCTTGCAGATGGTGAATTTCAAGTGGAATGTGACAAGAAAACAACTTAATAATGTGAAGTCACCAACTACCCCAACTTGCTTGGGATTTTGTGAAGGATGAATGACACCCAAGACCGATGCATAATGGATCTTTTGTGGTCTAAAGCCAACGTCTTGTTTGTTTTTTGTAGATATATGATCTGAATTATGTGCACGCATCTGGATTAGAGAAACTTCTGTTTAGGATCCTGCTCGAATCGATTATTCTCTTCTCATTTGCAATGAAAATTAATTGGTTCTCTAAAGTTTATATTCTAGCACTTTGAAATCTGTCTTGCTGGTACTTATTATACATACTTAAATTTAAATGGGGGATATCTTGGATTGCTTGAATTATGTGGAAATGAAATTTATCGGTAGGAGTTGGCTACAATTGGGTTTTAACAATGTTAACAAAATAAACATTATATTTAAACTAATAATACAATGATAACAAATTGTTAATATTAATATTACTCAATCTTTTAAAATAGTCTTAATAAATGAAAATAATTTAATAAATTATACTACTTTATATTACCCAACATAATTGGTAGTAGTATTTAAAAAGGAGGAAATAATCTACTACCAGTAGTATTATATTCGAAATTTACTGATTTTGTCCCAAATATCCATAGGTCCCTTCCATTTGTATTCTGGCTTCTGGATAAGAGTGAAAAAATCACTCTGAGGAATTAGCGTCGGAAAAAAAATATGGCGACCGTCTCAGCATTTTCCGTTTGCAGAGCTAAATCTCATTCTCAAATTCCCCATTCTTCATCTAATGCAGTTCCCCAGCTTTTCCCAATTCAATTCCTTCGGTTTCAAAGTAACAGTGGCATTTGCGGTGGTTATTCTTGCACTCCAAGTTCGGTGAAAGCGAAGGTACCATTGAGAACTACTAGGATATGTTCTGCAAATGAGGAAGATGGTGCTACTGCTGTTGCCGAAGAAGAATCTGCTGCTCCCACTACATCTGATCAGACTGTTTCTGTTTCCGTCTCCCCTTCCGACGTCCTCACTATGTTCTTTCAGGTTAACCCCTTCTTTTCTATTTTGGTAAAGTTTCTAGTTTTTTCAAAAATGAACCCTTCGGGTTGAAGTTAGGAGGGTTGCAGTAGGTTAATGCCTAGTGTAGGAATAGTTAATTTGGTTGTAATGAATTTCAGTCTGTGCTCATATTGGTTTGAACTTGGTTCTTGTGAAGTTTCTAATTTTGTCAAAAAAATCAACCAGTGTGAATTTTCTGATTAAAGTGAAGAGGGTTGCAGTAGGTTGATGCCTAGTGTAGGAATAGTTTATCTGGTAGTAATGAATTTCAGTCTGTGCTCATATTGGTATGAAATGGGTTCTTTTGAGGTGTCTAATTTTATCCAAAAATTCTAACTATGTGAATTCGCTAAGTTAGGATAAAGGAGGAGGGTGAGGTTAATTCTCAGTGTAAGGCTGTAAGCATAGTAAATTTATGAAGAATTCTGGTAGTACTGGTATTTAGTAGTGCTTGCTCATATTGGACTATTGGAGTGAAATGGGTCGGATAAGAATGCATATACATGATTGGTATAGCCCAACTCCAACTAGTTTGGCAGTGAGGTTTAGTTAATTAATTGATTGATTGTCTAATTAGTGCTCAATGTGTTAGTTTTGTTTGATTTTTTTTTCAAATTGTTACTTGTCTGTAACCCTTAAGCTTCTTGTGGATTCTTCTGTGAATGGTAAACTGATTTTATACCTTTCTTATCACAGGCAGAAGGAACAATGAATGAAGCTGCTATTCCTTCTGTGACTAACGCTTTAGAGGTAAATTCAGTGTGTAAAATTTAACTTTTTCTTGTACATGCTAATTTGTTGACACTTTCGCAAAAGACGCTACTTGTCTGTGCATTTGAGATACAATGTAGTTGTAGTTGCAGTAGCATGGGACTCTGAATTTTTATTTTTCTGTGTAATTTTAATGCTAGTTGTGGAACACCAGAAAGACTCGCTATTACATTGTAGAGGTAAATAAACAACACGGGGTTTTTGCACTTTAAAGGACAAATTAGAGAAAGCAAAACGTTCTGATCTTAAAGAGGGATTTAAACTAATTTTTTCTTTGGAACTAGGCATATCTGAAATCTTATAATCTAGAATCAAAGAACAGGTACAGATATTCATCCGATTCTTGGTGTTCAGAAGCTGCAAGAGAGAACAATTGATTTTGTGAATGTTTGATGAAGAGCTATATCTCTTTCTCCATCTCTCTTCCAAAACATCAGATTTTAGCTAATAATTGGAATTGAAGAATACTTGCAGTTTGACCTTATCAAAAAAGAAAAAAAATATTGGTAGTTTGACCTTTATCGTCTGTCCATATGCATACAGGATATTGAAGGCATTACAGGTCTCAAAATTCAAGTTGTCGAGGGCATTGCAAGTGTCGAGGTGATTCACATATATAATGCTTCTCTTACATTGACTTATTAGCATATCTGTTACAGGAAAAATTATTGTAGAAAGTTGACATCTCGATCAGCATATGCACCTTAGAGATACTGCATTAAAGTACTAAATCTCTGAAGCATGCTTTAGGTTCCTTACAGATTTCCTAAATTCAATATGCAACAAAGTGGACAACTTCTTGTGCTGCCTTTTTGAGCTTCTCTAGAAATGATAGTAACAGTCTATCTAAATGAACAATATCCTTTAACTTTTCATGAAGAGGGGGGGAATAATTTCTTCTTCAAAAGTAACCTGAAAAATAATTATTTGTGAAAAGAATGTTGTTAAAGTACTTATTACATTTTAATCTTTAAAATATTCTGTAGAAAATTTAACAGTGTCAAAGCTATCTTTTGAAGCTTCTATTTCCCCTAGCATACTAACAGCATCAAATCCAAAAATTTAAGAATTTCATTAGCATAGATCAAGTATAAAAGAGGAAGGTAAAGTTACTATCTATTTCCATCAGAATTTCAAATCTGAGTTCCTTATTTCAGCTTACCACCTTCAGTGCATATTAGTATCCTTGGTGCCATGGAAGTTAGGATCTCATTGCAGAGAAGAGAGCCGGAAAGGATTTGTTAGTGTCTAGGATTTTCATCATATAATTCTGCATCCAATAAAATTTTGCTGAATTCCTTTGATCTGGTTATACAATATAAGGTCATAGAACCTGATAATAAAAAAATATAAGACCTTAGAAAACTGACGAGGTGAGGGCTAAAGGTAAGTTCTATCTTTCTTTTTGATGAATAGAACAGGAGGAATCAGTATTGTGGTGAATTATGTAATAACATCTCTATATCTACACATGGAGAAACTTTTCCTTTGAACTTACTGTTGCAAAAGAATATAAGAAACATCTAAAGACATGTTTCTATTTTCTACATTCAGAAGATAAGGCATTTGAAGAACCGAGAAATGAAACATGGTATATCCTTGGTTCAGTGTTAACCTTTCTTGTTATTTGATGTAGTTAACAAAGCAAACGACAATACAAGCTACAGGGGTGGCTTCCAGTTTGGTTGAAACAATACAAGGTTCAGGCTTCAAGTTGCAAACATTGAATCTGAGCTTTCAGGATGAAGAAGATATTAGCTAAGGGGTGGATTATAGAGTTCAGAGACCTGATGATATCTTTCACGAGCATCTTAAGATGTCTCTATTTCCCTACTTGGATGCCAGTAGTTCAGTAAGCCTATATCTGTAACATTTTTGTATTATGCAGTTCTTCGATCTATTTTCCCCTAGCAGATGTTCCTTCCCACAACGTATAAAACATTTGTGAATTACTAATGAGCAGCAGAAACAATTTGTTTATTTGAAACAAGTGGTATACAAAGGGAAAGGTACTTTTTATGAGCCGTCGGAGTCATAATACTTGCAACTTGCAAGTCAGGCCCAAATAGGAGGGAATGTCATGTTAAATTAGTTTATTCCTCGATGTATCTTGATTTGAACTTGAGGTCAAGAGCAAGAGGATAAACTTGATTATTGAAAACTGACCAAAATGGACAAGTGACAACTTACAATATTGGATAACCCAAAATACAAGTAGCAACTGTACCAAATTACTCTATGTTGGCAAGGAATCGATCCAAATGGTAACTAGTAGTAGGTCATTTCTCAATTGTTAATGAATCTATGACATCGATCGATTAGTCAGGCCAGTAAACAGCCTTGATTAATTGATAATTCCATATTATAAGTCATCAGCTTCTGCCACTTGGTGATTTTTTTGTCTATTATCAAGAGTTTTACAGAATGCAACTATCGAAAAGGACAAGAAGAATTTGCTAGGAATTGTCTATTTCTAATGCCAGCAACTCAATTAATTAAACAAGGGAAAAGGGTCAAAAATACCCCTCAACTTTGGTTTATTGTTTGACTACGCCCTCGCCGTTAAAATGAAGTTATTTTTACCCCTCCCGTTACTAATTTCACCAAATTTACCCCTCAATTGGATGGAAAACCCCAAATTGACTCAGTTTAACCCAAATTTTAAAAAAAGACCCATTACCCCATTTTAAACCCAATGCCCGACCCATCCAAAGTTGAGGGGTATTTTTGACCCTTTGCCCTCAATTGGATGAAAAATCCAAATCAACTAAAATTACCCAATTTCAAGTAAATGACCCGATTTTCTCTTTTAATCCAAACCGACCCATTTATATCAAATTAGAACCCTAAACCCATCTCTCTAATCTTCTCCATCTCCTTCTTCCATTGAAACACATACTACTAAAATTGACAACAAATATTTTGTAGTTAAACTAATGCATATTTGTCCTTCCTACTAAAATTGCACCACTA